GCCGTCTGCACAGGCGTCCGCCTCCGTGCATTTTCTGGATCCGCGGGGTCGCACAGTCCCTAAATTGTGCGTGCCCGACTGGATCAATCGGCTCGTTTTTTCCATCGACTCGGATGGGGCAGACATTTATTTGAGTGGCCCGTGCACGCGAAGGCACAGCCCGGATGCCGCTGCACACGTTGGGGCAGGCACGGTCGAGCCTTTTTTTTCCCAGGGGGCAAGGCCTCCACCACTGGGAGCCCACGCTGTCACTCCGCTCTTGTGCCGTCGGAGCCTCAGGTCGATTCCATCGACTCGGAGGGATCCCGACTTGTTCCAGGAGGAACAGGAACACAGACACGATGAACCGTCGTCTCCCAGGAAAATATGGGAAACTATGGGAAGTAACGGGGGAAGACGAAATCCAAGAAAATATGGGAAACTGTGGGAAATCCTGGGTTCGTGCGGGAATTTCGAGGATGTCTTGACTAATGCGCTTGTTTTTCCAGGATTTCCTTGGCCACACAGGAGTTTTTGCGTGCCCGCTCGAGGATGGTGCGCCCCCCGCGCCAAAGAATCGAGGATGTCTCGAGCGAAACGCTGAGGGACCTGGGCGCCCCAGCATGCCCCAGGAGGCCCTTGGAGCTCGGACGCGGCGTAATCTACGAGGCATCGTGGCGTTTGGAGCGCGGACCACGCGTAACTTGCGAGGGATCGTGGCCCTCGGAGCGCGGGCGCAGCGTAATTTACGAGGGGTCGGGGCCTTGGGAGCTCGGACGCAGAGTGATTTACGAGGGATCGTGGCCCTGGGAGCGCGGACGCAGCGTAATTTACAAGGGGTCGGGGCCCTGGGAGCGCGACCCCAATGTAATTTACGAGGGATCGTGGCCCTGGGAGCGCTGACGCAGCGTAATTTACGAGGGATCGTGGCCCTGGGAGCGCGTCCCGTGGCACGTCCATTGGCACGTTCCGTAGCGCGTCCCCTCGGCACGTCCCGCGGTGCGTCCCCGTGGCACGTCCCCTGGCACGTCGCCTGGCGCGTCCCTTGGGACGTTCGGCGGCGCGTCCTCCTGGCATGTTCCCCTGTCAATTAGCTCCTGGGCAGCTACTATGTGCTGAGGTAGCTCGAGCTTAAGGTCCAGATCAGTTCGGTCAGGATTTGGATGCAAAGGAGAACTCGATCCACAACGCTATAGAGCACAATCTCGGCATAGCACGTCGCAGTTCAGCACAGCGCAGCACAGCACAGCCCTCGGCACGGTACATCAAGATCGATACTTTCAGCACTGCAACCTGGCACGTTGCGTGGCGCGTCCCGTGGCGAGCCCCCCTGGCACGTCGCGCGGCGCATCCCCTGACACGTCTCGTGGCACGTCCATTGGCACGTTCCGTAGCGCGTCCCTTCGGCACGTCCCGCGGTGCGTCCCCGTGGCACGTCCCCTGGCACGTCGCTTGGCGCGTCCCTTGGGACGTTCCGCGGCGCGTCCTCCTGGCATGTTCCTCTGTGAATTAGCTACTATGTGCTGAGGTAGCTCGAGCTTAAGGTCCAGATCAGTTCGGTCAGGACTCGGATGCAAAGGAGAACTCGATCCACAACGCTATAGAGCACAAGCGCGGCATGGCACATCGCAATTCAGCACAGCGCAGCACAGCACAGCCCTCGGCACCGTACATCACGATCGATACTTTCAGCATTGTAACCTTGCACGTTGCGTGGCGCGTCCCGTGGCGAGTCCCCCCGGCACGTCGCGCGGCGCGTCCCCTGACACGTCCCGTGGCACGTCCATTGGCACGTTCCGTAGCGCGTCCCCTCGGCACGTCCCGCGGTGCGTCCCCGTGGCACGTCCCCTGGCACGTCGCTTGGCGCGCCCCTTGGGACGTTCCGCGGCGCGTCTTCCTGGCATGTTCCCCTGTCAATTAGCTCTGGGGCAGCTATTAGTTACGTGCTCAGGCAGCTCGAGCTTAAGATCCAGATCAGTTCGGTCAGGATTTGGATGCAAAGGAGGAGTCGATCCACAACGCTATAGAGCACAATCGCGGCATGCCACATCGCAATTTAGCACGGCGCAGCACAGCAAAGATTTCGGCACGGTACATCAAGATCGATACACTCAGCATTGCCATTTGCCCGTTGCCCAATCAGGTGTCTTTGAAACGTTGCCATGTCTTACATTTCTATGTTCCTTTCCGGGTTCGTGGGTCGATCATGTTCTCAAAGGGGTCAAGACCTCCACCATTGGGAGCCCACGCTGTCACTCCGCTCTTGTGCCGTCGGAGCCCCAGGTCGATTCCATCGACTCGGAGGGATCCCGACTTGTTCCAGGAGGAACAGGAACACAGACGCAATGAACCGTCGACTGTAAGGAAAATATGAGAAACTATGGGAAGTAACGGGGGAAGACGAAATCCCACAAAATATGGGAAACTATAGGAAATCCTGTGTTCTTGTGTCTACTTACTTAATTGTAATGGCCTCCGGCCGGTGCCGCCGATCCGGGGGGCTTTGGATTCGGTGATCTTCGCGGCTCTGTGGCCTCCTCCCTCCTCGATTCTTCCAGTCCTTTTTCTTCTCTTCAGTTGGGGTGCCTGGATCGGTCCCGGGGAGGGGGTCCGGGGAGGGTTCCGAGGGGAGGGTCCTGGGGGGGGGAGCGGCTAGATCTGATGGGGGGTCCTTGGGACCCTCCGAAAAATCTTGGGGACGCGCAAATCATGAAGAAAACGCCAGATGGGGACCGCCCCCCCCCTCCCCCCCTTCCCCGGGGGCGGGGAGTCTGGATGCGCAAATCATGAAGGAAACGCCAGACGGAGGACCGCCCCCCCCCCCTCCCCCCTTCCCCGGCAGACCCACCCCGGCGACCCCCCCCAAGCAGGGCTGAAGCTCCTGCTTAGGCTCAGAGCTGAAGCTCTTGCTGAGGCTCTTTGTAGTTCACACGCCCGATCGGCCGATTTGTGTGCCCCTGGGGCCTTTTCGAAATCGATAAATCACAGGGTGCGGGACGCAGTTTTGTCGAAGACATGCTCTCAGCTGGTGTTTTTCCCGGAAGGGGCGTGGGCCCAGGGTTCTTTCTCGGTTGGTTAACCACCCGGCCTCGACTTGAGGTGGACTGGCGAATTTCTTTTGCGATAAATAGCGAGGTCGAGGTGGGCCGGCGCATTATGTTTTGAGGATGTCCCGGACGAAATGCTTGTTTAGCAGACATTGTTGAGGATGTCTCGAGCGAAACGCTTGCTTGTTTTGCGTTCTAGATTGTCTGTCCTCTCCTGGGGACCAGAATCCAGATCATCTCTCAAGTGAAATGCTTGTTTTCACGTGCCCAGGTCTTGAGGATGTCTCGAGCGAGACGCTTGGTTTCACGCGTCCAGGTTGCCCACGCAGACGTCTAGCATGAGGGTTTGTTGAGGATGTCTCGAGCGGGACGCTTGTTTTCACGCTTCCAGGTTGTCCAGGCGGATGTCTAGCATCAGGATGTATTGAAGAACATGCATACGCTTGTTTGCACGTGTCCAGGTTGCCCAGGCGAGTGTCTAGCATGATAATGTGTTGAGGATGTCTCGAGCGAACCACTTGTTTTCACGTGTCCAGGTCGCCCAGGCAGATGTCTAGCATGAAGGTGTGTTGAGGAGGTCTGGAGACAGACGTTTGCTTTCGCGTGTTCAGGTCGCCCAGGCGGATGTCTAGCATGAGGAGCTGTTGAGAACGTCTCGATCGAGACGGTTGTTTTTACGTGCCCAGGTTACCCAGGCGGACGTCTAACAGGAAGATGTAAGATGTCTCGAGCGAACCACTTGTTTTCACGTGTCCAGGTCGCCCGGGCGGATGTCTAGCATGAGGATGTGTTGAGCGAGGCGCTTGTTTTCACGTGTCCAGGTCGCCCAGGCGGATGTCTAGCATGAGGATCTGGGCAGGATGTCTCGAGCGAAACGTTTGTTTTCACGCGTCCAGGTTGCCCTGGCAGATGTCTAGCATGAGGAGGTGTTGAGAACGTCTCGAGCGAGACTCTTGGTTTCACGTGTTCAGGTCGCCCAGGCGGATGTATACCATGAGGATGTGTTGAAGATGTTTCGAGGGAGACGCTTGTTTTCACGTGCCCAGGTCGCCCAGTCGGATGTCTGACATGAGGATTTGTTGAGGATATCTCGAGCGAAATGCTTGCCGCGATAGAGCGCACCGCAGTCCACCCCCGCCCGTCCACTGGGGCCTTATGTGGAGCTGCCTACGGGGCCACGAATTGTGTGAGGGGAGTGTGGAAACAGGCGTGACGCCCACGCGCGAACATGCGAACGTCACTATTGGGGCCTTAGGTGGAGCTCCCGATATTTATGTGTGTGCGTGTGCGTGTGCGTGTCCTCTTCCGCATCACCCGGTGCCACAACTTTGCACATCGCTTTCGTGGTGCTCTTCTTCTTCCTGGGCCTCCTCCGCATCATCTGGTGGCACAACTTTGCTCATCGCCTTCGTGGTGCTCTTCCCCCTCCTGGGCGTCGACCCTGTCAACGGCACGTCCTCCCCCGCTGTACTCGAGGCTGGTGTTCGCGACGCGCCGCTGACGGCTACACCATCTCCACCACCTTCCGGGTCTTCGCCCCCGGCCCCGTCCACGGCGTACCTTCTCTTGTGCAAGCTCTTCGGCACCGCCTGCACCCCGGGCTCCACCTGCTCCGGCCGCCTGAGGCCCCGCCTTCCTGCGCCCTGTCTCCCTAATTAAAGCTGCGCGTAGCCCGCCTAGCTTTTAGTGGAAGAGGTTTGCACTCGCCCCGCCGACCAAAAAAGTGCGTGTGCGTGTGCGTGCGCGTGTGAGTGCGCGTGCGTATGTGCGTGTGCGTGTGCGTGTGCGTGCGCGTGTGCTCTTGTGTGTGTGTGTGTGTGTGTCTGTGTGTGTGTGTGTGCGTGTGTATGTGCTCGTGTGTGCGTGTGCGTGCGCGTGCGCGTGTGCGTGTGTGCGTGCGCGTGCGCGTGCGCGTGTGCGTGTGTGCGTGCGCGTGCGCGTGCGCGTGTGTTCGTGTGTGTGTGTGTGTGTGTGTGTGTGTGCGCGTGCGCGTGCGCGTGTGTTCGTGTGTGTGTGTGTGTGCGTGTGTGTGGGTGCGTGTGTGCGTGTGTGCATGTGCGTGTGCGTTTGTATGTGTGTGTGTGTGTCTGTGTGTGGCTCTGCTCCTCCGCGTCCCCTATCCACAGCCGCTGGTCCTAGGACCGCACACACGCTCTATTATCCCGATAGGACCTGCACGTATCATTCCAGATAGGATCTGCACCAACTGCATCTCGCGACTTCCGCGCACGTCTTCGGCGCGCTCCGCAGCGATGCCTGGGCACCTGGCCGTGCGCGGCGCGCCAGGAGCGACCGCGGGGGAGGCCGCGGAGGCCGGCGCGGGCCCTCGGCCCCGCGCGGCGGGCCCGGGCGAGGCGCTGCGCTTGGCCTCCACGGAGCCCCTGGTGGAGCACAGGGCCGAGGTCCCCCGGGAGGCACCGGTGAACTTGGCGCTCGCGGCGCCGAGCAGAGCCGTGCGGATGGGCGGGGCGTTCTCGTTCGTGTGCGCCCTGAGGATCCGAGGCGGAAGAGGTGCCGATGTTCAACGCTGCTCGTCCTGGGGAGGCCTCGTCGGCGCGGCTGGGTTCGCTCCGAAGTCGCCTGGGAGTTCTGGGCAGAGCGCACCCCAGGGGAGGTCCGAGGAGAAGCGATATCGGTAGCTTCTGGCATCCCCACAGGATGGACAGCATCGGCAGCTGGAGCCGCGTGTTCGACTTCTCCCTGGTCGCCGACGAGGACAGCATCACGGCCGGGGCCGTCGGGCTGACGCGCGACCTGCATTTCACAGTCTTCCGGGGGAAGAAGCCGTTCAGCGTGACCGTGAGCAATTTCTTCGAGCTCGGAGAAGAGGTTACCATGCTGTGCACGGTCTCGCCCTCGGGGCACATGCGGGTCTTCAAGGACGGTGCGCTCGTAGGGGAGAACGTAGAGGGCATGGCCCCTCTGCGACAGGACAGGCCGCGTATGATCGTGGGCGGCCACTACCTGTACACCGACCAGGCCTTCCACGGAAGCCTGAGAGACGTGAAGATGTGGAACCGAGAGTTGGAGTGGCCAATGCTGGGGAAAGCCGAGTCGTCGCTCGTGCCGAAGGAGGGCGGATGGTTTCCCGACGACGCCGATACCGTGCTGCTCTCCGCCCGCAAAGGCAAGGATGTGTCGATCGTGGGCCTCGTCGAGTCCTTCGATGGCGAGTCCACCGATGCCGACTTCCTCGATGACGAGTCTCTCGTTTCCGACAGCGGTGGAGCGTGCAGTTGAGCTCGCATTGCAGGGGCGTGTGCCCCAGCAGGGCAGGAATTCGTTCGCGTAAGCGCCTTCGCCCTGCTCCAGCGCATCTGGAGAGAGAGAGAGAGAGAGCGAGCAATGGGGGCAGTTGCACTGCTCGCGTGCTTGCCGCCTGCGCCATGTTATGAGCCGCATGCTAGCGTTGGGGGTGCCCGGAAGCTTCATCTCACCTCGGTTCTCTCCGCTGCCCTTTCTCAGGGCAGTGTGAGAAGGTGTTTGTCGCGCCGTCTGCACAGGCGTCCGCCTCCGTGCATCTTCTGGATCCGCGGGGTCGCACAGTCCCTAAATTGTGCGTGCCCGACTGGATCAATCGGCTCGTTTTTTCCATCGACTCGGATGGGGCAGACATTTATTTGAGTGGCCCGTGCACGCGAAGGCACAGCCCGGATGCCGCTGCACACGTTGGGGCAGGCACGGTCGAGCCTTCTTTTTCCCAGGGGGCAAGGCCTCCACCACTGGGAGCCCACGCTGTCACTCCGCTCTTGTGCCGTCGGAGCCTCAGGTCGATTCCATCGACTCGGAGGGATCCCGACTTGTTCCAGGAGGAACAGGAACACAGACACGATGAACCGTCGTCTCCCAGGAAAATATGGGAAACTATGGGAAAGTAACGGGGGAAGACGAAATCCAAGAAAATATGGGAAACTGTGGGAAATCCTGGGTTCGTGCGGGAATTTCGAGGATGTCTTGACTAATGCGCTTGTTTTTCAAGGATTTCCTTGGCCACACAGGAGTTTTTGCGTGCCCGCTCGAGGATGGTGCGCCCCCCGCGCCAAAGAATCGAGTATGTCTCGAGCGAAACGCTGAGGGACCTGGGCGCCCCAGCATGCCCCAGGAGGCCCTGGGAGCTCGGACGCGGCGTAATCTACGAGGCATCGTGGCGTTTGGAGCGCGGACCACGCGTAATTTGCGAGGGATCGTGGCCCTCGGAGCGCGGGCGCAGCGTAATTTACAAGGGGTCGGGGCCTTGGGAGCTCGGACGCAGAGTGATTTACTAAGGATCGTGGCCCTTAGAGCGCGGGCGCAGCGTAGAACCCAAGGGATCGGGGCCCTGGGGGCTCGGACGCAGTGTAATTTACGAGGGATCGTGGCCCTGGGAGCGCTGACGCAGCGTAATTTACGAGGGGTCGGGGCCCTGGGAGCGCGACCCCAATGTAATTCACGAGGGATCGTGGCCCTGGGAGCGCTGACGCAGCGTAACTTACGAGGGATCGTGGCCCTGGGAGCGCGTCCCGTGGCACGTCCATTAGTACGTTCCGCAGCGCGTCCCCTCGGCACGTGCCGCGGTGCGTCCCCGTGGCACGTCCCCTGGCACGTCGCCTGGCGCGTCACTTGGGACGTTCGGCGGCGCGTCCTCCTGGCATGTTCCCCTGTCAATTAGCTCTGGGGCAGCTACTATGTGCTCAGGCAGCTCGAGCTTAAGATCCAGATCAGTTCGGTCAGGATTTGGATGCAAAGGAGGACTCGATCCACAACGCTATAGAGCACAATCGCGGCATTGCACATCGCAATTTAGCACGGCGCTGCACAGCACAGCCCTCGGCACGGTACGTCAAGATCGATACACTAAGCATTGCATTTGCCCGTCGCCCAATCAGGTGTTTTGGAAACGTTGCCATGTCTTACATTTCTATATTCCTTTCCGGGTTCGTGGGTCGATCATGTTCTCCCAGGGGTCAAGACCTCCACCATTGAGAGCCCACGCTGTCACTCTGCTCTTGTGCCGTCGGAGCCCCAGGTCGATTCCATCGACTCGGAGGGATCCCGACTTGTTCCAGGAGGGACAGGAACACAGACACAATGAACCGTCGACTCCCAAGGAATATATTGGAAACTATGTGAAGTAACGGGGGAAGACGACATCCCAGAAAATATGGGAAACTATGGGAAATCCTGGGTTCTTGTGTCTACTTACTTAATTGTAATGGCCTCCGGCCGGTGCCGCCGATCCGGGGGGCTCCGGATTCGGTGATCTTCGCGGCTCTGTGGCCTCCTCCCCCTTCGATTCTTCCAGTCCTCTTTCTTCTCTTCTGGGGGGGGTGCCTGGATCGGTCCCGGGGAGGGGGTCCGGGGAGGGTTCCGAGGGGAGGGTTCTGGGGGGGGAGCGGCTATATCTGAGGGGGGTCCTTGGGACCCTCCGAAAAATTTTGGGGACGCGCAAATCATGAAGAAAACGCCAGATGGGGACCGACCCCCCCCCTCCCCCCTTTCCCCGGGGGGGGAGTCTGGATGCGTAAATCATGAAGGAAACGCCAGACGGATGACCGCCCCCCCCCCCTCCCCCCTTCCCCGGCAGACCCACCCCGGCGACCCCCCCGAGCAGGGCTGAAGCTCCTGCTTAGGCTCAGAGCTGAAGCTCTTGCTGAGGATCTTTGTAGTTCACACGCCCGATCGGCCGATTTGTGTGCCCCTGGGGCCTTTTCGAAATCGATAAATCACAGGATGCGGGACGCAGGACGCAGTTTTGTCGAAGACATGCTCTCAGCTGGTTTCGAGAAATCGAAGGGTGCCGGAAAGGGCGTGGGCCCAGGGTTCTTTCTTGGTTGGTTAACACCCCGGCCTCGCTTTGAGGTGGACTGGCGAATTTCTTCTGCGATGAACAGCGAGGTCGAGGTGGGCCGGTGAATTATATTTTGAGGATGTCCCGAACGAAATGCTTGTTTAGCAGACATTGTTGAGGATGTCTCGAGCGAAACGCTTGCTTGTTTTGTGTTCTAGATTGTCTGTCCTTTCCTGGGGGCCAGAATCCAGATAATCTCTCAAGTGAAATGCTTGTTTTCACGTGCCCAGATCTTGAGGATGTCTCGAGCGAGACGCTTGGTTTCACGCGTCCAGGTTGCCCAAGCAGACGTCTAGCACGAGGGTTTGTTGAGGATGTCTCGAGCGAGACGCTTGTTTTCACGCTTCCAGGTTGTCCAGGCGGATGTCTAGCATCAGGATGTATTGAGGAACATGCATACGCTTGTTTGCACGTGTCCAGGTTGCCCAGGCGAGTGTCTAGCATGAGAAAGTGTTGAGGATGTCTCGAGCGAACCACTTGTTTTCACGTGTCCACGTCGCCCAGGCAGATGTCTAGCATGAAGGTGTGTTGAGGATGTCTCGAGACAGACGTTTGCTTTCGCGTGTTCAGGTCGCCCAGGCGGATGTCTAGCATGAGGAGCTGTTGAGAACGTCTCGATCGAGACGCTTGTTTTTACGTGCCTAGGTTACCCAGGCGGACGTCTAACAGGAAGATGTGTTGAGGATGTCTCGAACGAACCACTTGTTTTCACGTGTCCAGGTCGCCCAGGCGGATGTCTAGCATGAGGATGTGTTGAGCGAGGCGCTTGTTTTCACGTGTCCAGGTCGCCCAGGCGGATGTCTAGCATGAGGATCTGGGCAGGATGTCTCGAACGAAACGTTTGTTTTCACGCGTCCAGGTTGCCCTGGCAGATGTCTAGGATGAGGAGGTGTTGAGAACGTCTCGAGCGAGACTCTTGGTTTCACGTGTTCAGGTCGCCCAGGCGGATGTATACCATGAGGATGTGTTGAAGATGTTTCGAGGGAGACGCTTGTTTTCACGTGTCCAGGTTGCCCAGGCGGATGTCTAACATGAGGATTTGTTGAGGATATCTCGAGCAAAATTCTTGCCGCGATAGAGCGCATCGCAGTCCAACCCCGCCCGTCCACTGGGGCCTTATGTGGAGCTGCCTACGGGGCCACGAATTGTGTGAGGGGAGTGTGGAAACAGGCGTGACGCCCACGCGCGAACATGCGAACGTCACCATCGGGGCCTTAGGTGGAGCTCCCTATGGAGTCACAAAACGTGTGAGGGGTGTGCCGAAACGAACGTGACGCCCACATGCGAACGTCGCCATTGGGGCCTTAGGTGGAGCTCGATATGGGGCCACTACACGTGTGAGGGGTGTGCCGAAATGGGTGTGACGCCCGCATGCGGGCGCTGCCCTTGGGGCTAACACGTGGAGATCCTAATGGAGCACGAAACGTGTGAGTGGTCTGCCGAAACGGACGTGACGCCCACATGTGAACGTCGCCTCTGGGGCCTTGGGTGGAGCTTCCTGCGGGGCCACGAAGCGTGTGAGGGGTGTGCCGAAACGGACGTGACGCCCACACGCGAACATGCGAACGTCACGGTGTGCGACATGGACATGCGGTGGGCGAGGAGCCACATGTGGACCCTGCCACTTGGGCCTTCGGTGGAGCTCCATATGGGGCCACGAAGCGTGTGAGGCCTGTGCCAAAATGGATGCGGCGGCGCCATGCGGGCGCTGCCACAGGGGCCATCTGTGGAACTCTCTATGGAGCCACGCATTGTGTGAGTGGTGTGCCAATATGCGCATGCGGAGAGCAGAGGCAAGGATGGGAGGGAGGCGAGAGGTAAGGAACGCGGGGCGCTGTCTCTTCAAATCGAGAACCCAACTACACAGGATGGTTGGGAAGAGCATACATCCAGATCAGGTCGGCATCGGGATTTGGAAATCGAGCAATGCGTTCTCGGACAGTGGTTGTCGGTGAGTGCCTCGGTGATGGCCAGTGGTGTATGTTGCCCCGCCTTCACTCGGTTGCGGAGAGGCCAGCGTTGGAGGACAAATGGGCGAGGAGTTCACGTGGCGCATCAGAGCAGGGAGCGGGGAGGGCAGAGGGTGTGAGGAGTTGGCGACCTGCGGTTTTCGGAACTCCAGTTGCAACCAACGGATGTCAGGAGTCGCGGCAGGTGGCGGAGCAGAACGCCAGAGCTTTTGTTCCGTACCCCAGCGTTGTCAGGGAGACCCCCGCATCCGAGTCACGCGAGTTCACCATCCCTGGCCTAAGCTGGATAGGCACCCTCTGGAGGCCCCCCCCCCCGGGGCCTCCCTCCGCTCCCCTTGCTTCCCGCTTCCCTGCCGCCTACACCCCGCCCTGCCCGCCCCCGTTCTCGCAGCCTCCCGCTCCCGGGTGCTTCGCGCCCCCGCCCCGATCCCCTTGCGACTCCTGGCGGGCCTGCGGGTCTCCTGGCGCCGGCGCGCGCCACGCGCCAGGCGCTGACCTCGCAGCTGCGCATGGCGTTCGTCTCGCATGACGCGGGAGAGATGGACGGCGAGGAGGACTGGGGCCTGGAGGACGCCTCTGTCCTCTCGTTTTTTTTTTTTTGTTTTGTTTTTCTCTGTCTCTGTCTCTCTCTCTCTGTATATATATATATATACATAGATATATCTCTGGCACGCGCGTAACCACTCATTGCATGTGTGGGCACCGCGGACCGACTGCACCGAGGGGTGTGCACAGCCTGGAGAGGACGCTGGCGTGGCAGAGCTGGGAGGGGGAGGGCCGAGGCAGGGGGAGGAGGACGGCGAGGAGGACGGCGAGGAGGCTTTGGGGCTCGGGTCCTGGCCACACCCAGCTCGCCCGGCGGCCTTGCACTGCTAGGCTTAAGTCGGGCCTGTCGCTCTACAGGGGGGATAGTCAAGAATAGTCAAACAAGTAGTCGGGGGATTTTTTTTGGGGTATTTTTGAGCATCTTTGGGGCATTTTTCCCGTAAAGGGCTGACGCCCAGGGTTCTCTTTTAGTGTGTTTACCCCCGGTTTTGATTTGAAGGAGGCTGACGGAATTATTTTGCGATGCA